CTCTTCCGATCTCCCCAAAACCCCAAAACCCCAAGTTCTAATTAATTACTTACGTGTTAATAAAGAAGGTAAAGTATTCAAAATAGAATGAAAGCTAAATAATGAGCTTTATTAATCCTCATTAATCATTCCTGAAGCTCTTGCTGCAATTATTATTGTAATTGAAGTTGTTAATCAAACAGCCTTTATTATTCCACGGCTACTACATCTCTATTCTTTGATACATCTACTGCTGCAATTGCAAGATATCTTATCATACTAAGGCCCTCAACATCATGCTCCAATAAACTTAGATTCTCACTCATAACATTTGTATTATTCATTTTAAAATTCGCCTCTAAGAGTTTCTTTCCTTTTTCAATCAGGTTAACATCCTTTGTTTCTATTTCATTCACTTGACCTTCAATGAATAGCTTAAGATTGTTGTTTTCCTTGTTTAATCTCTTAACTTGTAATTCCATCATATCGATTCTATCCTGCATATCCTAATTTTTGGCTCTCTCCTCTTAGAGTTGCTTTAGATAATTCTTAGTTTCCCGAGATTGAGATTATAATTATTCATAAAGATCAACATTTTCATTCTCCTTACTTGATAACTATATCCGTAACTCTTTGACAATTGTCTCTAATTTATCCAATAGAGATTTCTATTATTTAGTATGAGACACTTTTTCCTTCATGTAATCTTGATCATCCTCCATTTAGTCAATTCTCATCTTAAGGATCTCATTATCTTTCTTCAGAATCATTAGTCTTGATAACTCTGTTTTTAATTCCTAAATTTCTGAATTTTTTTCATTAATAACATTCATAACTTGCTCGTAAAAAGTATGGCCTCTTAGAAATACTATCTTCTATACCGAGTTATCCAGATAGTCTATCTCTTCTCTTACGTTGACATTGAGCTTTTATACTTGCTCAAACTGAATATTTAAGAGATCTATCATTGTATCTATGGAATCATGAGCTTCGCAAGGTTTACCTTTATTTGGGCCGATATTACAAAAGCAAACTGGATCAAACTTAGGTATTTACATGTTAAAATTGATGGCATCTTCTTCATCATCAAGAAAATCTAAATTTTATAAAAGCTTCCACCTTTAAGCTGCCTTATCTCCAAGACCTTGTTTTTTATCTTCAAGGCTCTTATAAATAATTGATTATGTTTTACTCATTCCATCTAGCAAAGCATTGTTTGGATTGATTTTTTTCTTTCTAAAATTTACTCCAGTGCTGCCTAAAGGATCCTCACTGCTCTCATTTATTACAGAGTTTTCAATTCCACTTCTTGCGGTTAAATTCAATGCTAATCCTAAAGATGTTTTTGCTGTTATCTATTTTCTAAGTGTTGTATTGATAAACTTTCTCTTGGCTTCTAATAAAGCTGAATCTTCGATAGGCATAAAGAGTTTGGCTTTCTATTCTGAACTCAGTTCTAATACTGATGATTGATCAAGTAATGCAATTGTATTTTTATTTCTCTCTCCTTTCGTCATCATTGGCGAAGCTATCGGATTAAATTTTAAATAGTTCTCAAAGATTGAGGGCAACTTGCTTGATTATCTCTCCTAGTTGAAACCGATGGACTGCCCAGCTTTTAATGTCTAATGTGGATTAGTCTAGATCAATGAGGAATAATGAGTTGTTGAGGTAAAATGTTTGCTATCTGGCAATAATGGATTAAAATTTGGATTTAATCCATCTAGACTTCTTTTTTAGGCAGCCAAACTAGTACTCTGATTTCCATTTCTAAAAATTTTATTGTTTAGGATTTTTGATTTGCTGTCATCAATATCAATGTTGCCACTTCTCTGATTAATATCGTAAAACTTTTGGTATTCTGGTCTAATTAGATTGTCCGTTGACATATTAAGAACATTAACTGGATTATTTCTAGCAGGCTTTTTGGCTGAGTCTTCATAAGGGTTACCCCCAGAAGGACTTCTCATATTAAAATAGGTATTTCTGTTGTTATTTTGTTTATAATTAGTTAGAAGAGGATCTCTAGCCTTAAATGAATTGGTGGGACTCACTTATTCACTTTTAAAATTAAGCTACTTCCTAACATTTGAGTTATGAAGCAAGTACTTTTGCTGATTGCTTGGTACAGCATTAGGTAAATTTAGAGAGATGTCTTATTTACTTAGACGAGAGACCTTAACTTTATCCTTTTTACTTTCAGTCAGTAACATGATATTAAAATTATATTAATTTTAAATACATTAATTGATAATCAATGGAAATAGACGAAACAGCCTAGATATAGAAATCCTAAGAAAAACTTTTAGATGAAGATCAAATTTAGAATGCCAATTTTGCATCTGTTCTTTAGGGAATCATTGATGGTCCCTCATTGATTCCTCAGCAAGAACATAAAGATGAGAAGGAAACATAAATAGAAGAGTCAAAAGAAAATTAAATTTAAGAAGTCTAAACAAGAGAGCCTAAAAAATGACAACGATCTAGGCCAAAATAAAAAAGTTCGGAAAACTCTACTCCTAGTCTTTAAAGCAAGAGAAGCTAATCACAGTTGATCCCTTAAAAACTTTAAAACTAAACTCCAAAAAGCAATGCAAAACCAAACAATAACAGCGATAAGGTGATATGGTAATGAAGATCTGAACAAACATTAATTGAAGAAAGTTTTGGGTCGCACTTTTTCTATAAATATCTTTCAACTATTGATTAGTCCCATGCATCTAAATTTCTAGATGATGGTATTTAGCATCTTTGCATAATTTTAAATGTCAAAGAATTATTCACGGAATAAGCTTGGAAAAATCTTGAGCAGATAGACATCTTCTTGACAACAAAGTAAGTTATTTATTTAATGAGCTATAATTAGCTGGGATGAAAGTGAAAATAAGCCTATATAAAGATCAAAAGACTCTTTCATTGATAATTGGAAAGTAAGTTAATCAAGATTTATATTTAGAAAGCATTGAAAATGAGTCAGCTTAACGGTACAATAGAACTCAATCACTCACATTTGAGAATTCATTAGTTGACAGCAGCAATGAGCGATGGTGATTAATAAAATAGTGATGCTTAAGAAGAAGTTAATTAAAGTTGGAGAATAATAGAGAGTTTGAAATCATATTGCTTATGGGCTCATCCTTTTACAATCAACGATCAAGATGAATACGAAGATAAATCTGATTTTATCTTAACTTAAAAAAGTAAAAAACAATATCTTTACACATTAATGTTTAATAGGATTTGAAGCCTTAGATTATTTTGAAAAAGATTTTTAATCAGCTAATCAACTAATATCTGGAGAAATTAATTACCTAGAAAAACTTCTGTAATCTCTCATCGAGGAATTCAAAGCTTAGATAAATTCAATTATTTCGATTCAAGATATGGAATCTAAGGAACTATAAAGGTCTTTTGCATATAAGAAATAGAATTCGAATAGCTCAGACTCAATTATTAAACTACGTACCTATCATAGAGAGGAACTTGATTAGCTTAAACAAAGATAATTTTCAATAATATCTTTTCTCAGAACTTGCATTAAAGGCGTTTAGCTAAGTCATGAGGATTTTTAAACTGGAAAATTAACCTAGCTAACAATAGATAGATGCTGCAACTGTCAAAGAATAATAAGAATATCAGAATACGATGAAGTCAAGAGAAAAAATGAGACAGTAGAATTGGCTGCGGCAGAAAAGAAAAAGTAGCAATATTACTTAAAGAAAAAAAAAGCTGATGAGAAAAGATTAAGACCAGAATAGTTTTTATAGTAGTAGGAAGATATCACACAAAAAATCCTCAAAATTGTTAAAGATAATAAGCAGAGCTAGGAGCAACTCAAACTCGAATAAATACATTAAAGTGAAAGAAGAAAATCATTAGCAAAATTACAACTCAATAATACAATAGATGGCGTTATTAGGAATGTTTAAGAAAACAATAATTTAATAATCATTGACGATTAAATTACTAATTAAATGAAACTTGAAGATAATAAGCAGACAGTTTATCATTATTTGAAGAAATAAAAAGGTGATGGAAAAGGGAAACCTCTCAGAGATAAAAGCATTCAATAATAGGAAATTGATTAAAATAATGCCTTTATGATGAAAGGAACAGCAAATCCGTTTTAGCAAGAATTATTGACCATTAATCCAGTAAAAAAAACTAAAAAGATAGAGCATCAAAATGAAATGCCTTATTTTCAGCAGATAATAAATGATTTAAATATTGACTAGAAAGATGAAGGTATTATCTATAAAAGTAAAGTTGGCTATAATAGCCAGTAATGAAAATAAGATAAAAGAGATTTTAAAGGGGTAAACACTCAGTTGAAGCGAAAAATTGAGTTAGTTCCTTAAAATAGGCTGAAAAACAAAATATAGAGGACTATTTTTCTCGATTAATAAACATATAATCAAGATAAAGATATTAGCTATGAAGAATAAATTCCATAAAATATAAACTAAGATACTATAAACAATGAAGAAGAAGCAAAGTTTGAGTAGACTAAAGATGATCAAGTCCTGAAACAATAATAAGATCCATCCAAATCTAAGAAGGAATTAGAAACTTAGAATGAAGAACAAAAGCAAGAATCTTAAGAAGAATATATAGAATCTAAAAGTAATCTTAAATCTTAAAGTAGGACCATAATAATTGAGCAAAGAGATTTAAATATAAATCTCTCTTAAAATCAGTATCTATCAAAGAAAGCTGAGCAAATTTTATAAGGAAGATCCAGGTCGACAATAAGGACGAATCAATAAATATATCGCAGAGATCTATGAGATTTTAATGAAGGGATTTAGAATCTTACTGGCTAGGAAAGAGAAATTCATTAGATGTATAAGTAAAATTACTACAAAAATGATCTTTCTTTTCTAGAGCCTTAAAAACCAATAAATTTGCCAGAAATTAAAGTAAATCATAAAGTAACCATAATTGAATAATAACAAAAAAATTAAAGTCTTTGGTCAGCAAACATAAAATGATAAGGAACTAACTAAGAATAAAGTAATTAATAAAGAGAAAACGTGCACTCAGAGTAACAACAGAAATTCTAGTTTAATTATTTTAGCGAAAGAAAAAGTATTTCAAGTCTTAAAGATCAAAGATAAAACACAGGCAATGCGTAATCTAAAATACCCTATTAAAACTAAAGAGAAATGAGTTATAATCATAAGACATAGTAGAACTTTGGTAACAATAAAGAAGCAAGTGCTCAAAATAAAAGTACTCAAGGAAACAGTCATAGCTATGAATCCTCAAAGACAACTATCAATACTGAGAACATCTAAAATGAGACTAAGTAGAGGTACTCTCATTCTAGAGATGGATATTAACCCAGCATGTAATCCAAAATTAATCAAAATATCATAAACAATAATAATTCAAAATACACTAATATAAAAGAGGAAAAAGCTAAAGTTTCTAAACTACTAGAGGAATTTGAGAAGAAGTAAAAACTAGAGAAGCATTTGAAGATGTAAGAGCAGCTAGATTCTGATATGATTTTGAAATCTAACCATCAAACAGGTGCTGGAAGATCATCGATTTTAGAAATGCAGTAGAAATAAAAGTTTTATGAGTGTTAAACACCTGAGTAATAGTAATATGTAAATTCACTTTTGTAAATTAAACCATGGCTTGGATGCTTGCCCTTAAAAGCCTCTAAACTAGAATACCTTAAGAAAAATTATCCAATAGATGACGCAACTAGTATGTCTATATTTCATTTAGAGGGTAAGGACAAGGAAGATTACCAAACTGAGATAGAATTCGTTGAGACGGAAGTTGTTTCAAAAAGAAACATGTTAAGAGAGAAAAAAACTGATTTCGAATTGCTCATGGATGCGAGATACTTTAACAAGTATGGTGACTATCTTCATAAAAGATTACAACAGAAAAATTTCTACCAGAGATTGGAAATATCAAAGGATGCATAAAAATCAGAGATTAAAAAGTAATTCTACAAGCTTGCTCTAATTTGGCATCCAGACAACATAAAGAAAAAGCATAAATTTGGATTTGCTTTCGAGTAAGTATTTACTAAGCTTGTTGCAGAGATTTTCGTTCTTTTTGAAGAAGCATATAAAACATTAAGCAATGAAGATACCAGGAAAAACTACGATTCGAAGAATTGATAGTAGAGTAACGAGAATAAGAATATTATTAAATTTATTATATATCTAGTAAATATAGAAATAAGCATTCTCAAGGGGTTTTGGGGTTTTGGGGTTTTGGGG